TTATTTTTACGTATAGAGAAAAATGTAGAAATATTCCATCTCACTCTTCCTCTGGTATCAGTTATTGCTGCATAACAAACCAGAAGTGCCACATAGTAACCAGACCTAAGCTAACAGGTCACATGTCTGTGGGCCAGATCCAGGTCAGCTGGTCTAAGCTGGCCTCAGTTGGGCAGCTCTGCTCCTCTTGGCTAGACTGCAGCTAGATAGATAGGCTATATGTGCAGGAAGGCTATAGTTTTGGCTCTAGGCTGTGTTTAGCCAAGGCATCTGCAGATGGTATATATGTAAGGACCAAACAGAATAATTGAAATGATGTCAAGATTTTCTCCCCCTCTGAACCAGAAGAAAATCTTAGAAACAGCAAAGAAGAGTCTCACTGCATCAATATTCAGTAAAGGACCACATTCTTGGATGTTACGCTCACTGGACCTCACCTCCACCAGAAAGAGATTGGGACATTAATCATGTCTCCCTGATGGAGACAATGGAGGTGCTGATAGGAGATAGGATAAGGTGCCTCTGTCCCCAGCACTGACAAACCCAAGTCCCGCCATCATGACAGATCTGATGGCCTGCCTCATTCTATCAAGGCACATGGTGGAGATGGCAGTGCCTCCACTCCTGCCTCTAGATCCACAGCAACACATGTCAGCCCCAACAGAGAGAAAAATGACAACAAACCCAAGGAATGGAGAGGGGAAGGGAGCCAAGAACCATGAACAAGAACAAATAAAATATTCAGAAGAGACTCTACTGAAATGGAACTGTCAGAAGAGGCAGACAACTTAGATTCATGTGTCTGGACACTTGTGCACAACTTTCTCCCACACATGTGCGTGCACACATCTTCCTAAAAATAGGATCTTAAAATTTAAAAGATCAATCAACAGGGCTGGCAGTGTGACTCAGTGGGGTAAGCTGCCACCTGCAATGCCAGCATCCCCTGCGAGCACCGAGAGTCCTGGCTACTGCACTTCCATTCCAGATGGCCCAAGGGTCCGGGACCCTGTCGCCCACATCAGAGACCCAGATGGAGTTTTGAGCTCCTGCCTTTGACCTGGCCCAGCCTGGCCATTGTGGCCATCTGCAGAGTAAAACAGTAGAAGGAAGACCTCTCTGTCTCTCTATATAACTTTTCCTTTCAAATAAATAAATATATAAATATATTTTTAAAAAATCAATAGAAAACTCAAACTAAAGATGATCACTGGTGAAACCCAAATTTGTAACCCAAATGATTGAGTGAAAGATAGCTCTAAAACAACAGAGAGAAATGTGTGATGGTTTTAAAACCATGAGAGGAAGGTCAGCATATTTAGCTACTAAATCCTGGAGACGTAAGGATCAGTTTCACAAGGAAATATGAGACAGTTTAAAGAGCAACAATAAATATACAAACGGAGGAAGAAAATATCCCAAGCAGCAGACCTGAATTGAGGTTCCAGTTGAAAGAAGAGACTCCAATCTCTTATAAAATTCTAGAACTCAAGGAACAAAGTACTAAAAATAATAATAATAATAATAATCCTGACATAGTTCATTAAAAACTAGAAGTTGGAAGGGGGGGGCACAGTTTTACCTATTGGTTGAGACACCCATATCCCGAATCAGATTGCCCAGGCCTAAGTCCTACTTCTGGCTCCTGACTCCAGATGCTTGCTCATGAAGACGCTGGTACACAGCAGTAATGGTTCAAGCACTTATGTATCTGTGGCACACATCAGAGACCTGGATTGAGTTGGGAGTGAGCCAGCAGCTGAGAGTTCACTCGCTCACTCACTCTCAAATTTTTAGATAAAACAAACACAACATGGGTACAAAGTTAGACTATTCAATCCATCACAGAACCATGAAAGCGCAAGTAAAAGTCTTCCTTCATCCTCTGATTTTCCCTCCCTCAGACTTTCTCTGACAAGGCAGCACTGTGAATAGTTTCTTGGATTTGTCCCAGCACTCGTATGCCACTCATTGGTTATGCCAGTACAGACATATACGTAGATGTTTATTTTTATTTATTCATATTCATAAAATTCTATAATTTACCCAATTTTTTTCAATTAATATATCTTTCATATTAACACATACCTAATTCTTTCTAATAGCTACATAAAAAACTAATACCAACTAATCCCTTATTAATGGATTTTATTCAAACAATGCTACCAGGAACAACCATGTAATTAAATCTTGTCGCTCTTTTGTAAGAACATCAACAGAGAAGTTCCAATCAGGAAAACTGCCAAGCCAAAGACATGTGCATTTTTCTTGATTAAAAGCCCTGAAAACTGGCATAGAAAAAGCACTCAGCAAATGTATGTTAAACTAAACTAATTGTATTTTCCACCAAATGATTGTATTGATCAACCTAACATACAATGCTAAGGTCCTTATAAATTACAGTACTGGGTTGAATAGTGACCCCCTGTCGCTCCCCCTCTTCGCGGAGGAACGACACAGGACCCTGCACTGTTCTTTTGTCTGCTCGGCCCTCCCCGGGTTTGCTGCTGGTTCTTCCCGGGTTGGCTACCAACCCTTCCACCTCCGTGGAAGGGCGGTTCCCCCTGCCCACTTCTGCGGGGGAGCAGCACACCGCCAGCCGGCTCTCTCGGGGGCTGCACAGGTGTTCCCCTTAGATGTTCCTGGTGCATGTTGTCTCTCTCCTCCTTTATAGTCCTCTTCCACCAATCCCAACTCGGCTACCCACACGCCGAGTACGCTGCTCTCCTCCAATCAGGAGCAAGATCAGCTCCTGCAGGTCATCACTCAAGTTGGCGAGAGGCAGCTGCGTAGAAGCTGTTTACTCCTCTCCCAGCGCCATATTGTGGGAGAGCAGATGCATAGAATAAGTCTTAATTCCAGTAACTTAGTCTAGTACGAGTTGCTCCCCACACCCCCCAAAAGATATCTATGAACCCAAGAACCCCCTAGAGACCCCCCAGAACCTATGAACACTGTGGATCTTGACATGACATCATCCAGGTTGTCCTTACAAGGGTGAAGCAGAAGACAGTTTGACAGATACGCAAAGGAGAACATAAGGGCTAGTGGAGATACAAATTAGAAGGCTGCAGCCCTGGGACCAGCACTGTGGTGTGACAAGTTAAGTCACCACCCGCAATGCCAACATCCTATACCATATACCAGCTGGCATTCAAGAACTGGCTGCTCCACTTCAGATCCAGCTCCCTGTTAATGTGCCTGGGAAAGCAGTAGAAGACGGCCCAGGTTCTTGAGCTCCGGCACCCACACTGAAGACACAGATGAAGCACCTGGCTCCTGATTCCTGGCTGCAGCCTGGCCCAGCCCCAGATTTTGTGGCCATCTGGGGAATGAACCAGTAGATCCAAGATCTCTCTGTCTCTCTCTTTCAAATAAATGAAAATAAAACTTAAAAAAAATAGAAGGGTACATCTTTAATCCCAGAGACACAAGACAGTAACCAGAAATTACAAGAAGCAAAAAACAGATTCTGCTCTAGAGCCTGCAGAGTGAGTGCAACACTGTTAGCACCTGGATTTCAGGCTCTCAAGGAATAGATTTCTGGTGGTATAAGATACAAAGTTTATAGGAATTCATAGGGCAGCCTCAGGAAACCCTACAATCAGTATTAAATCAGAGCAACAGAAAAGAGCATCCAGTGTTTTGGCAACAGCTTGATTATGACACAGAGAGGGAAGTTCCAGAGACTTGCCCCCGAGAGCAGCTCTCTTAAGAGCCTTTCCCAACAACCCCCTTATTGTCTGCAGTTCCAGCGACTTCTCTTGGCTTGTCTGAAACTGAGATCCAAAACAAGTAAACAAGTTGAAACAAATGTGTTTGTGTTGAAAACAAACACCAACTTACCGATTTTTTTTCCTTTTCTTTTGGCACAGGCAGATCAAGTACAAACTGATCCAATCCAGACTTAGAAAAGAAAGTTTGTAAGTGCCTTTTTTTTTCCTTAAAAGCCCAGGTGGTGGCAGATGGAGACTCACACATGTCTATCTATCAAATCATAATTGATCCAGAGAGAGCCTCGCTGGAGAGAAGAAAGCATTTTCCCGGGCAATCTTTGGTCTCTCCCCTGGTGAAGAATTATCACACCATCTGGAAAAAGGCAGTGTACTACTTTCCCAGTCATTGTGAGGCTAATTATCAACCAATTTCCAACTTAGATTGGCCTAGAACCATGGAATCATGCCCCCTGTATACCCACATACCAAGCCACTGCTCTCACAGTGACCAGCTTTGAGTTACTGAAACTAATCCTGTCTCACCCTTAAGTAGTGCTTGCAATTGAGAAAGCATTGCTCGATGTAGACTCTCAATTGTTTAATGCTCTCACAGCAAAACTGTGAGATAGAAACGGAGCACATATTTTTGGGAAGAAGAGAAACTGAACTTCCTCTGGAACACTGGACTTACCCAAACCCCAGACTTCAAACCCAATGACACCCTCCACACCATGATGCCACCTGAGGATTGACCCATGTGAGGGAGACGTGCATTTTAAAACAAGACTGTTGGATTTCAGGTGCTCACTCTTGTCAGGAGACCACGTGTCCCTGGCATGAAAAGAAACCATCTGTGTCCATGTGCAGAGGGCATGGAAATCAATGCACTTTCGCTCATTTAGTACCCCCCAAGTCTTCTGATTTAACTATGAGTTCACTGCTCGTGCTGATTCTTTTTAAACTTTTCTGAGATTTCTTTGTCAACTCATTAATAGGCAAAATTTTCAGGTGGCCATTCTCCACAGAGCTATAAAAAAGAAAATGAGCAGCAAGATCAATCGCACTTTGGAAAAAATTCTATATTTTTTCACTGCCCAAGACAAACAAAAAAATTGTTTCTAATGATAATTCCTATTTCTATTTCTCAGGTCACAAGGAAGTAAGTAACATGAATTAAAAGACAAGAGATCTATATTCATTAAATAAAAGAAAAAAAAGACAAGAGATCTAAATTCATAGATTCAAATTCATTTATTTTTCTAATTGGTATAAAGTCTTCACTCGATCACCCTGTGTTGGGGCTGGAGCAGTAAGAAAACCAAAATCTGTGATCTAAACACCCGGACACTCTACTGGGTAAAGTAAGACAATGAGCACATGTCAATTTGTTCTCTAGTTTTCAGCAAAATACATGCAGAGACTTTAAGTTGACTACTGTTATCCCCACCCAGACCCCTAAACAGGAAGATGACAGAACACAGCTCTGAACAGTGACAACCCAGTTGGCCTCACCTCTGCAATTTAATCTTAGGTAACCAAGTAAAAACCGCCTATAAGTCACATACACAAACTGCCATCATTCAGGGACAATGAGAAATGCTATCCTTGCACGGGAATTTCTAAGGATGTCGACTCCTTAAAAGTGTAGGCATCTGGAAGTGGGTATATCTTTGCCACAGACTCCTCCCCGTGCCTGGGTGGTCTCTTCCACTTTCTTGCACCTGTTCTGCTGTTAAATTCATACATGTTCCCAGACACTGAGGGAGGGAAAACATGAAACACAGAAAAGTGAATTTGCAATGAACTTGCAAAGCATTTATTCATACACAGAGTGTTTATTGAATATTTGCTCTAAAGCCAGCCTGCTGACAAGTTTACCTTCTGAAATCTCACTCTCTTGCTGAGGGAGAAATTTCTGCTCTTCCTTGGGGAAACAGTGCATGGGAAAACCTTCTGAAATGTTTTATAAAATGGAAGTATGGTCTGTTCTGCAATTCCAGAGTTCACTGATATAAGGATAGTTCCAGAAGTTCATTGAGAAATGGAATTTAAAAATAAGTTGGAGCAGGTGTTTAGTCCAGTGTCACACATGATAGTACCTGGGTTCAATTTCTTGTTCCAGCTCCTGAAGAGGAAGGGATGATGGCTCCATTGGTTGCTTCCTTGGGAAAACTGGGTTTGACTCCTAGTTTCAGCCCCAGCCATTGCAGACATGTGACAAGTGAACCAGCTAATGGACTTTCTCTTTTTTTCCCTCTTCCTCTCCCTCACTCCCTCCCCCACCCCTGCCTCTTAAATACATTTTAAGAAACCTTTTTTGGTAAGTGTATTTAGGTGTAAAAATATTTGAGATTCAAAAGTATTTTTCCTAATAGTCATTGACCATGAACTCTGGGAGCTACTCTTGTCTATTCTTGACCAGGTATTGAGAATCCATGAGCCACACATGGCCTAGAGAGGCTGCAGCTGGGTGAAGATGGCCATGAACTCTTTGGCCACAACCTTTGAAAGGAGAAGGGTAGGCTTCTCTCTCTGAATCAAGGATGATTCCGACTTTTCATGGGCAGAGTGTGGCAGAAGGGATGCTGTGCCAGCTTCCAAGCCCAGGCCTCAAGACACTGCAGTGTTCCCTTTCAGTCTCTTGAAACTCACCCTGGGAGATCTAAACTGCTCTGCACACTGTCTGACTAATCCTGCTAGCAAAGCTACAGAAGAGGCCCTAGATTACAAGGAGAGGAAGTGGGAGCCAGCTGAAGCCAACCTGCAACTGTCCCTGCCAAGTTGCCAGATTTATGAGTGCAGCCATTTTGGACCCACAAGACAAGACCAGCTGGCAGCTGAATACCATTGCAATAACCTTTATGAGAGCACATAAAGCAAAAGAATTGCCCAAGTGCTAGCAGCTCAAATTCCTACCCAGAACCTTGTGAAATAAAATTAAATGATTGCTATTCTAAGCTCTAAGTCTTCGGGAAGACTTACACAACAATATACAACCAAGGAGGAAAATGTGTTTTATTTGGCAGGCACAATAGGCTTTAACTGAACTAGTTACTGGCTTTTTAGAAATGAGCACATTTCATGGAACAGTCTGGATTTCCACCTTCTTTTGAAGCACCAGAATTTTGACAGTGCAATGGGCTGGAGCTGAGTGACGCCCACATCCCACAAGCATCAGATGGCACCGAGAACTGAACTTACTATTGCATCTATCCCTGGTAGTCATTTATCTTACCTGCCTGGCCCTAAAATGGTTTGCCTGAAGACAGTATCCCATTTTGTAAACTATCGTGAGTAAACAAGTGTTTCACACAGTTTGGCATCCAAACAGGCAAAATGAACTTAACTCAAAAGATAGTTAAGCAACATACCTGGATCAATGGCTTCTCCATCAAACACAGTCTCATACACAATGGTTTCCTTTTGAATGGAAAAAATGTTAGTAATAAAATCATCTTGATACAGTCGGTTTTGACATGTGTTAAATACTTAGGGCTTATACTTCTTAGAAGTTACTCATCTTTTTCACCTATGCATGCCTAGCAGCCAAGGGCCAAAACCCTTCACGCTGTTCTTACCTCCTTGCAACCTCATCCCCTACATCACCAGCTGTCAGTATGCTCGTGTTGCCCTGCAAGTATTCAGGTCCACTTCATTTTATTTTCCTTTATTATTCATTTGAGAGACAGACTGAGAGAATGATAGATACACAGACAAACAGAGACAGACAAAGCTCCTATCTGCTGTTTTAATGTCCAAATGCTCTCAACAGTTACTGTGGCTAAAACTGGGATCCAGGAATGCAATTGAGGTCTCCCAAGGGACTGGCAGAAACCCAACTGCTTCAGCCATCAACCTGCTGCCTTCCAGGATCTGCATTAGCAAGAAGCTCAAGTCAGGAGCTGGAGCCAGAAGTTGAATCCAGGCACTGTGATGTGGGGTGGGGCATCCTAACTCAAGCTTACCCACTAGGGCCAACACCAGCTCTCTTGTCTTGTTTTGTTTTGGTGGAATCTTTCTTATTTAATATTTATGTATTTGAAAGATGTGGTTACAGAGAGGGATAGTCAGAGACAAAGGGAGAGAGCTTCCATTCTCTCATTCATTTCTCAATGGCCGTAATGGCCAGGGCTGACCCAAGCTGAAGCCGAGAACCAGGAACTCCATCAGGGTCTCCAACACAGATGGCATAGGACCAAGTACTTGGGCCATCTTCTGCTGCTTTCCCAGGTACATTAACAGGGAGTTGGATCAGTAGAGGAACAGCCAATGCTGTTAAGTCCTATACAGAGGAACTCAAACCAATGCTCTGCTATAGAACACTATTGTCACAGGTAGTGGCTTAACCCACTCTGCCACAATGCCAGCCCCTCAGTGGAATCATGTTTTTTTTAAATATTTCCAACTAACACATCATCACTGTACATATTTACAAAATAAATATTTTGATACATGTAAACCATGTATAATGACTTAATTAGAGAATTTATTATATCCATCATTTCAAACATTTCTCATTTCTTTGCATTTGCATTGGGAACAATCAGCTCCTTTGTTTGATGTGAAGTCCCTTACCTTAAGTGGGGGCTATGACAGGCTGAATTGCAACCCTCGCCCATTCACATACTGAAATTCTAAACCTCAGCATATCACTGCATTTGGATATAGAGCCTTTACAGAGGTCAGTAAGATGAAATGAGGTCATATGGGTGCACCTACTGCAATAATGGGCTTCCTCAGAAGAAAAGATTAGAACACTAACAACAAGGGGTGACCGTGTGAGGGCACTATGAGAGCAGCCACCAGCAAGCCAAGAAGAGAAGCCTCAGAAGAAGCCAACCCTGATGAGACCTTGAACTGGGACTTCTAGGACTATGGGAAATAAACTATCCCATCTGTGGTATGAGTTATGACAACCCCAGCAAACTAATTCAGCAGATCAGCTGGCATCAGTTTCCCGAAGACACAGGCAGGGGAGCTGCTGAAAGACAGCCATGGAACAATATCATGGAACAGTATCATGGACAGCCAGGACTCAGGGAGGAATCCAGGGCACTGAGGGAGGCCAGAGGAGCAAAAAAGAAGAGATGAAGGCCAAAAACACTCTATCTTGTCCTACTGTACATTTACTTTTTCCTGGAACCAACATAACTCTCCCACAGTAGTGTGGCCCGTTCAGTAAATATGCCTCAGCCATTTTCAGGATGGCTTGCAGACTGCACAGTTTAGATGTACCAGCTGCTAAGGAACTCCAGGATGAAAAATTTATTCAAATCTATACATGGATATACTGTTGGCAAATGTAATTTGTACTTTTATGTAATGGTGGATAATGCAAATGGATTTCCATTTGTCTGGAGTTGTTTCTTGCTGAATGCACTTAGGATATTTGAGGCACATTTTGACCTAGCCAAATTCTAAGGTTGGATCTGAAATTCTAGCTTTGTAAACATACAAATTCAGTAGAAGTGGACAGAATGAAATTATTGTATTTCCTTCCCATGATTGTTTGAGTAGATTTACCCTACATTTATATGAAAGAACTTCTTGCTGGGCAGTAGTTATATCGAAAATATAGTACTTCTCTTTTAAGGTAGAGGGTCAAAAAATGTACTTACCATTAAGTCTTCTAACTTTTTATTTCTGCTTTCTGTAACAGTCTTTTTCTTTTGACTTGTATCTCCTGTTCAAAAGTAAATAAATAATAAAGCAGGTATGCAGAAGTGGTGCTTTAAAAAATACACAAATCAAGCATGATCTTGTGACAATCAGCAATTTGTATCTTACCTGCAACGTACTTCATTCCTCTGTGTGAGAGAAAATTTGACAAAATATCAGCTTCCTTACATTAACACAGGGGAAAAAACAATTTCATTCAATATTGAACCCAAGACTATTATCCCATCTTCCCTACCCCAGGAAAAAAAGAATGCCTGTATGGGGGAAATAAAATGGTCTTTGCTAATTATCACCACCCCTTCATCTCCCCATGAATAAACTCTCCTCGGCTGATAAAAATCCACATTCAACTCCGTTTCTGAAGTCATGATATTCTTCACCGTGAAAAATATTGGTGAGGAAAAAAGCTGCAATTTCTGTCCACCATTTCTTTGGCCTCTCTGTCTGGCTTTGGATAGATGGAAAAACAATCAGATGTGTGGAGAGGAACCCTGCACTGATTACCGTCCCTTGGCTCATTCCCAAGTTCATCAAACACCTGTCCATGAAACGGCTTGCTTCAAAATAAGATGGGGAGTTGCTGTCTTGTTTGCTCACAAATTGATTTCTTTAAAACCTATTCTCAGGGTAGGCATTTGGGATAGTGGTTAAAACGCAGCTTGGGACTCCTACAATCATATTGGAGTGTCTGGGTTTGAGGTAATTCATAGGAAATTATCTGCTAAAAGTATTTAATGCATTTCAAAAGTAATTTTTATCAGAGCAGGTGTTTAGCACTTAGGACACCTGTGTCACACACTGGAGGACCTCCATTCGATACCCAGTTCAGGCTCCTGGCTCCAGCTTCCTGCCAGCACAGATCTTGGGAAGTAACAATGATGGCTAAAGTAGTGGAGTCCATGCTACCCACTTGGGACAGCTGGATCAAGTTCCTAGCTCCTAGTTCCAGCCTTTGCAGGCATTTGGAGAGTGAACTAGACATGGAAGAGTTCACTCTCTTTCCTTCTGTCTCATTGTCTCTCTCTGTCAAATGCATTAATAAATAAAATTTTTAAAAAACATATTCTCACAGAAAATCTGCTTCAGATGTTCTAAGGTGGAACCCAATAATACGTTATTGCTGGAGTTGGTTCTCTCTGTTTTCTGCCATTTCTTTTTTCTATTTTATCAATGCTGCTTACTTTTTATATTTTTAAAAATTTTAACCAACATTAAATTGTGCATATTGATGGCATCCCTTGGAATGTTTTGATATATGTGTACATAATGTAATATCAGATCAATGTAAACACATATATCTCCTCAAACATTTACTATTTTTTATGGTGAAAGGATTCAAAATTGTTCCTTTCTTCTAATTTTTTAGAAAAATATACAGTCAATTATCATTATCTGTAGTCATTAGATTGTTCTTTTTTAAGGGCTTTTTTGTTTAAAAAGCATAGTGACAGAGACAGGGAGAGGGAGAGAGGGAAAAAGGGAGAGAGGGAGAGAGAGAGAGAGAAAGAGAGAGAGAGATTGATTGAGACTGTCCATATACTGGTTCACTCCCCAAATGCTGACAACAGCGAGGGTTAGATCAAACCAAATTTAGGAGCCAGAAACTCCGTCCATGTCTCCCAGGTGGTTGGCAGAGAATCACGTACTTGGGCCATCTTCCTCTACCTTCTGAGGGGCATTAGCAGGGAACTGGGGGCCTGCATTGGGGCACAGTGGGTTAAGATTCCAGCTGCAATGCCAGCATCCCCTAGAGGCTCCAGTTTAAGTCCCGACTGCATGGCTTCCAGGCTTCCAGCTTCAATATGGCCCCGCCTCTACTGTTGAGGGGTGAGCCAGCAGATAAAAGAGCTCTCTCCTCTCTGTAACTCTACCTTTCAAATACATAAATGGATCTTGAAATAGAAAGAAAGAAAGAAAGAAAGAAAGAAAGAAAGAAAGAAAGAAAGAAAGAAAGAAAGAAAGAGAGAAAGGGAGGGAGGGAGGGAAGGAGGGAGGGAGGGAGGAAGGAAGGAAGGGAGGAAGGGAGGAAGGGAGGAAGGGAGGAAGGGAGAGAGGGAAAGAAAAGAAAAGAAAAGAAAAGAAAAGAAAAGAAAAGAAAAGAAAAGAAAAGAAAAGAAAAGAAAAGAAAAGAGAAGAGAAGAGAAGAGAAGAGAAGAGAAGAGAAGAGAAGAGAAGAGAAGAAAGAGAAGAGAAGAGAAGAGAAGAGAAGAGAAGAGAAGAGAAGAGAAGAGAAGAGAAGAGAAGAGAAGAGAAGAGAAGAGAAGGGAAGGGAAGGGAAGGGAAGGGAAGGGAAGGGAAGGGAAGGGAAGGGAAGGGAAGGGAAGGGAAGGGAAGGGAAGGGAAGGGAAGGGAAGAGAAGAGAAGAGAAGAGAAGAGAAGAGAAGAGAAGAGAAGAGAAGAGAAGAGAAGAGAAGAGAAGAGAAAGAAAAGAAAAGAAAAGAAAGTAGGGAGATGTTTGAGAAGAACAGTCAGAACTGGGACAAGCACTCCAGTACAGGATGCCCATGTCACAGGTGACAACCTAACCCGCTGCACCACAAGGATGCCCCTGCCCAGCTGTTCTTGTAAGAAAACTCCCCAACAGGAGTCACTGTGCATCTGCTCCCCATGTAGGACCTCTGTCCTTAATGTGTTGTACTATGAGAATTAATGGTAAAACTACTACTCAAACAGTACTCTATACTTTGTGTGTCTTTGTGGGTGCAGTCTGTTGAAATCTTTACTTAGTATATACTAAGTTGATCTTCTGTATATAAAGATAATTGAAAATGAATCATGATGAAGAATGGGATGGGAGAGGGAGTGGGAGATGGGATGGTTGTGGGGGGAAAAGCTGCTATAATTCAAAAGTTGTACCTTGGAAATTTATATTTATTAAATAAAAGTTGAAAATTAAAAAGAAAACTCCCCAACTCTTCCTGAAATACAGTAAGTTTGGGATCATCCACAAAATGTACCATTGAATTTTACATCTCAAAGCAAACCTAGGTAGAAGAATCTGATTTTAACTTTTTTTAGAAGATTTTATTTACTATTCTGAAAGTCAGCATTACAGAGAGAGAAGGAAAAACAGAGACAGAGAAAATGATCTTCTACCCACTGGTTTACTCCCCAGATGACTGCAATAGCCAGGGCTGGGACAGGTCAAACTAGGAGCCAAGAACTTCCCATGTGGATGACAGGGACCCAAACCCTTGGGCCATCCTGCCTTGCTTTCCCAGGCACATTAGCAGGGAGCTGGACAGGGAGTGCAGCAGCCAGGACATAAACCAGCACCCACATCAGTGCCGGTGTCACAAGCAACTGCTTTACCCACTACACCACAATTCCAGTCCCCAATTTTATCTCTTTATATCAGAAGCTTAGAAAAGTACATACTTGGGTTTAGGTGTGGAGACTCCCTTGGCCATGTTCTGACAGCATTCCAATACATTACCATATCTCCAAAGCAGGAAACATCCCCAGGAAACCAGTCCAGCAAAAAAAATAGCCATGAGAGTGAAGATGAAAGGGATGTACCAGTCACTGGATTTGTATGTGTTGATGGACGTATACACGATGGTCAGACCTTTCCCATGCTGGTACAATTCAAAGCCAATGGAGCATTAGTTCATGTTTACCAAGAGCACCTGTCGACATTACACAGCCATGCACCTACATGGGTATCATCTCAGACATATGCATTTTTTAAATACTACAGGCTACACTGAGGAACACCCTAACATACAAGAGACTCCAAATTAAAGATATAAACACTTGATTTGTTTGCAACGACCACTCCATGATCTTGAACCAACCATTTCACCTTTGCCTTTAGTTTTCCCATCTATAAAATCAAGGGGTTGAACTAGACTGTATCTGAGCCCTTCAGGCTTGTAACTGCTTATAATCTACTCTACACACAATAATCCCCTTCAAGCAGCTTGAAAGAGCCATGTGTTCTTGAAAACCAAATATTCTAGTGGAAAGATTTTACTGTCCACATCTTTTTAAGTGATTCCTCTTCAAGGAATAGAAAACAATAACGCACTAACTATGATATCTGTGGAATAGCTTTCACCTTCAGGTGACTCAAACCAATTTGGAATTGTGCAGAGGTTTTACATATCTACTTTTTAACAATAAAATACTAAAGCATGTTCTAAAGTGTAAATGCTTTGGTTGAGATGAGATGAAATGATGGATTTAAGCCCGGAAGTACAGAGCCTGGTGCATAGTAGGTGCCCATTCCTATGAGTAATGTGACTACTACAAGATAGAATGCCTACTTGTAGAGGATTTTAATGGGTAGAATTTACTGAGTATTGGACTCTTCCAGTGGGGATAGCCTTCAGGTCATTCATACATAATTAGCTGCTTAGGGGTCCTCTATGTAGCACTTGCAGTTACCAAAAATTCTCTCATCCATATATGTTATACTCCCTGCTGCACAATGTGAAATGTAGCCCAGTGTTTGGATGGGGTAGTGCCCAGGTGGAAAGGCAGAAAGGCGAAGGTGCTGCCCTGAGCAGCCTTTCAGCATTTCTAGGTAAAAGCTGAATTTACAGGAGAATTTTTCCACACACAGACCCAAATGAAATTATGTAACTCTTTACTTCAAAACTTGTTGGAGGAGGTGGTGTATTGGCTCTTCTGACATAAATGTCCATAACAGCGGTGCCGGTCCTGGGCTGGGATGATCTGCCATATTTCAGGTTGTCATCGATTATATGCACCACAAGATGATACTGCCGCTGCCGGTCAGCTCCAGATTCAAAGTCAAAAGGATTCTTCACAATTAATTTTGGCATATTGGAACCTCGAGTTGGGTCAAATCCAAAATGATGGTTCTCATTTCCTTTTAAGAGGTTATTTGAAAAATTAGAGCTAATTTAAGATATATCAAGTGTGTTTTCTCAAGCTGCCTTAAAATGCTATTAAAACACAATACATGTAAAAAGGTAATATTTCTTTTATATTCTGAACTCACATATCTATACATGGCTTAGAATACTGAGGTAAACTAAGCAACAAATTCAGCTGGCTAGCAAAAAATGTTTTAAAGGTTAAGATCATGAATCCAGTCGCTGTAAGTGATCAGCAAACTTCACACATAATAGCATAATAGCAATTGTTCTGCCTAATTATTTCCCCTTCCTCTGTCTTCCAATTTGATTCATACGTTCAGCTTAGTCTATATCAATAACAAATGAGCCCGTGAGAGATCACAAATATCTATTGAGCTTCTACTAAGTTCAAGTCCTCTCCATAGCCCTCTTGAGACATTTTTATCAACAAGATGCCTATGTTCCTAGCCTTTATCATCTAGCAAGGGAAGCAGAAATTAAGATAGTCTTTATAATTTATTGTAAATATGTTCATTGATTTCCATGTGCCCATTCTTTCCCATACATGACAGCAGTCCCTATTTGAAATAGGTTTCCTTGTTATGCTATCTTATGATACCCATATGCCTTTATAGAACTTATCACAGTTCATAATTTCATAATTGTTAGTGTTACTACCAAAGAATAATAAGTTCCAGGAATACAGCTACAAAGTCTGTCCTAACTACTTCTGTGTACATATATCCTAGCACAGTGCCTGATATAAATGATATAAATGTTCCTTCAGCTTTCCTTTTCTTATGATTTACATAATTTGTAAGCTTTCCATAGGCTCTTCTAATGAGCCCAAAGCTCTTCCTAATGGCTGCACTGAATGTCACCACTGACCCAGGAATAATAAGCCAGTGACTTGTGGATTGACAGCCAGAACCCAAATCTGCAGGGACATTTTTGCAAACACAGAATTCTAGCCTTTTTATGTCTAGGGGACATTTATATGTTACATAGAGGACAAAATAAGGGCATGATTTTATATGGCTGTGTCTAAATACACCAATACAATTGAAAACGTCTATTCTAGTGAATGTATATTAATATCATCAGTTGGAAAAGTGGCTGCTCTTTTAGCCAAAACCATGGACAGCAGCAACCTTGGCTCCGTATAATGTTTTTTAAAGATTAATTTTATTTATTTGAAAGGCTGAGTGACAGTGGGAGAGAGGGAGAGGCAGGGAGAGAAAGGTCTTCCATCTGCTGGTTCACTCCCTAAATGGTCACAACAACTGGGGCTGGGCCAGGCTGAAGCCAGGAGCCAGGATTTCTTCCAGGTCTCCCACATGGATGCAGGGGTCCCAGGACTTAGGCCTTCTTCTACTGCTTTCCTATCAGCATGGAGCTGGACTGGAAGTGGAGCAGCTGAGACTCGAACTAGCACCTATATGGGATGCCAGCACTGCAGGTGGCAGCTTATACCACCACATCACAGTGCTAACTCTAGTTCCTTATAATTTAAACACCACAGATCCAAACTCTCTTTGCTGCCAAAATATTTGTGAAGTCACTGATACCTCCATTAGAAAAGGAATTACAGTGAATACATAGAAAAGAAAAGGGTGCCTTGGAGTGGGTATTTAGCCCATCAGTTAACATGCCCATGTCCAACACTGGAGGCCTGGGTTCGATTCTCAGCTCTGACTCTAGCTCCCTGCCAATACATGTCCCTAGAGGTAGCAGTAATGGCTCAAATAACGGGGTTCCTGCCACCCATGTGGGGGTACCTGGACTGTGTTCTTGGCTTCTGGTATCAGCCAATGCAAACATTTGGGGAGTAAATCAGCAAATGAAAAGTGGTTTCTCTCCTCTTCTCTTCTTCCTCTCTTTCTTTCTCTCTCTCTCTAATGAATAAATAAATATAAATATAAATGAATGATTTTTTTAAAAAAAGGGTACCTTCAGAAATATTTAAGCTATAGATATGAAATAGTTTAATCTTGATGAACAATCATTCCTAGGGTTATACATCATGCCTAACACTGTATAATTAATGTCATTTGACACAAGCTTATGATTAATGTAAATAATAAGATCATTTACCAGAAACTATCTCAAAGCGCATTTCGAAATCTTGTGAATCTCTGTCGTGGCAATGTAGTTTGAAGCCATTGATGTTAGTGCCAGCAATAACATTGTCAAAAATAACTGCCTTGAACAGATAGGGTGTGCAGGCAGGTGCTTCATCATTCTCATCTTCAATGTCAACAGTGACCTGTCAACAATGAGAGAAGAAGAGACATCACATCCACAGCATGAGACTATTTATACACAGAATCAGAAATAAGCATCGGGGTAGAGACAGATCATTTGGAGTTATTAAGTAAAAAGTCTACAATTCTGTGTTTGCAGAAATGTCCCTGCAGATTTGGGTTCTGGCTGTCAATCCACAAGTCACTGGCTTATTATTCCTGGGTCAGTGGTGACATTCAGTGCAGCCATTAGGAAGAGCTTTGGGCTCATTAGAAGAGCCTATGGAAAGCTTACAAATTATGTAAATCATAAGAAAAGGAAAGCTGAAGGAAGGTGTCTCTAAATATTGTAACCCCTTGAACCTTTTAAATATCTATGTTTGATGGCACACATATCTTGAGTTTCTTTCATGTCTAGTAAAGTGCTCTGTACTATTTTCTCAAAAGCAATACGTTTTCAGGTTACAATATGATTAGTTCCAAGTATACTTTGCTCTTAGTTAGGGGCTTTTACCTTTGTTAATTAAAATACCACAAACCAAAAAAATAAATAAAGATTTACATGGGAAAAGATTAAAATACCAAATATTTGAAAATGCCAGTAATCAAATGCCAGTCAGCCTAGAAAGGTTATCTTCCCACCTCTTGGATGACTAATAACTTTCTCAACATTTCCAGAACAGTCCCCGGTGTGCCTAAATTTGTAAGTACTATCATTTTAGAATGTTTTCTGTAACATTTTAGCAACACAGCTAAATTCTTCGGGAATATTCCTTAAACATTATCTGTACACTGAATATAGTTATGCATACCATTTAATATGTGGGACAATTTTCTACGATAAGTAAATAGATTTCTTTAAGATATTTCTGTGCTACCATGGAAACAGTGCTGAGCCTGAAATCAGAAATCTGTTAGGGGGCCAGTGCTGTGGCAGCCTCTGCCTGCAGTGCTGGCATCCCATATGGGCACCAGTTTGAGTCCCGGCTGCTCCACTTCTGATCCAGCTCCCTGTTGATGGCCTGGGAAAGCAATGGAAGATGGCCCAAGTGCTTGGGCCCCTGCACCATGTGGGAGATTTGGAAGAAGCTCTAGGCTCTTGGCTTCAGATCAGCCCAGCTCCAGCTGTTGCAGCCACTTGGGGAGAGAACCAGCAGATGGAAGACTTCTCTTCCCTCTCTCTTCCCTCTTCTCTCCCTCTCTCTCTCTGTAACTCTGCCTCTCAAATAAATAAATAAATCTTTTTTTAAAAAAATAAATCTATTAAAAGCCTGGGCCTGCCACGCATTAACTACTTTATTAGATGCAAGTAATTTAACCTTGCTTTTCTCATCTGCAAAAAGGAGACCTCAATCTCTACCTTCTTGGACTGCTGGGAAGATAAATTAATCCATTCGAGAAATATTTATTGAACATTTACATGTACCAAGCACTGATCTGGACAAAGAAGCAACAGTAGTGAACCAAATAAAGTCCACCACCAATTATAATCTTTATCTCATTTGGGGAGGTAGAGTGATAAACATATCAACAAATAAATAAATAAGGCACTGTCATGCAGCTGATGCATTGTAGCTTTAGGAAATAAAGGACAGGTGCTAGAAACAACTTGAAGGAGTGTTCAGAGACAGACTGGGACCCACTGTCCACTGTCCCATCTCTTCCGGCTCTCCCACATGCAAGGCATGTCCCCAGGCTAGCAGGTACCTTCCAGACTACGTGCAGTCTGGCTGTGTAGTGCCGAATGGCATAAATGATATTTGCTGCAGATATTTCCTGTTTCCTACTTTTCTCGTAGACAGCCCTCGATGCTTCTTCCATGTTGCTATTTATAGAACTAATCTGCTATTTCTTCTTGATTCTTAGTATTTCACAGGATGCATCCAGCACTGGAGTTTACTTATTCATTCCCCTAAAGATGAATACGTGGATTGATTCAAACTTCCACTATGAAATACACTGCAAAAAGCCCTATGACCAGGTTCCATTTGCACAGAAATATGATTAAAATCATAGAGAATGAGCATTAGAGTCTTGGACAAAGATTCTGAGTACAAGCATTCTTGGTGTGTTGGAGAAACTGAATGAAGTTTGTGGCTGTACTGAAGTAAGATGGAGTGATTTAGGAGCTGAAGACAAAGAGATAGCCAGGGCAATGACATTGGAGTTCAGGTGTGTGTTGTGTGACACCAAGGGGGAGCTTTGAGGAAGAGGATGATCTGTCTTTTTAATGGGTCACTCTGGCTACCAAAGAGTAGGCTGTAAGGGAACAAGCAGCAGTGGGGGTGCTGGCTAGGAACCTGCCACACCAGACCAGTAAGGCATGCTGATGGCACAACCAGGGTTTTAGCAGTAGATGAGTGAGAAGCGGAATGAGTCAAGATTTATTTTGAAAGTAGAAATGACACAATTATCTTCCAGATTGGAGAGGTTATTTAGGATCCATGGCAGTATTCAATCCTTCTACCTCATTTGGTTGAGCAACCTTGGAAAAGCCACTTAACTTCTAAGCTTTGGAAGTGAAATTCTTTCATCTGTACAAAGGGGTGCCAGCAACTACCTGGTGGAATTAGATTGAAGACTATAGGAGATAGTACTTGGCCCTTAATAGGTTGTTAATAAAAAAAAAATGGGTGATGATGATGATGATGACAACAATGATGAGGATGACAATGACAGATTCCCGAACTTTGGAGTTTAAAATCTTCCTTTTCTGAACTTGAGAGTTGATTGTGTCTGTATCATCAATTTTGCACCAATTTATGCAATTTAACTTTTCAATTGTTAACAACTTCAAGCTCCCTGAAGGCATATGTGACTATGGTGACTTATATATTGTATATAAACACCCAATAAATATTCATTAAAGAATGAACAAAGTTCTGCCTTACCTTTAGGCAAGACATAAATTCTTTTTATAAGCACAGGGTCATTGGAAGTTTTATATTATCGTTATAATTAATCTGTTGTCCTCTTCTCTCATTTGTAATAAGTGCATGACAATTACAAGTGGTGGCATTGTGCACTGTTTTAGGAGTTTATAAATGTCTACAGGAAAAACTGCCATAGCTGCACAGATATAAATGTCACTCGTGTTGTAATTACAAGTTTTAAAAATTTGGTTTTTTCATTTGCTTGAAAGGTAAAGCAACAGAGAGAAAGAGAGAAACCTTCAACCCACTGGTTCACTCCCCAAGTGTTTACACCAGCCAGGGCTGTGGCAGGCCAAAGCCAGGAGCCCAGAACCACATCCAAATCTCCCACATGGGTGACAGGGTCCCAAGTACTTGAGGGATCAGCCACTTCCTCCAAGCAGAAAGCTGGATTTGAAGCAAAACGGCCAGGACTTGATCCAGCACTCGGGTACGGGATGGTAGCTAAACCCACTGTGCTACAACAGCCACCCTTGTAGTTATCTTGAGAAAATGAAGCTATATCAACCTGTCCTCATGACTGTAACACAGTCCCTAACAAAGTCATCCTAACTGTGGACGTAAATGGATCTAATGTTTTTGTCACAATGACACACTCAGGAAAACTAATAACCATGCAAGCATCAAGCCAGGAGCTCTGTACAGCAGGAGGAAGTGCACAGTGAGTCATCACAGCAGATGAGGATCTAATAACTCTCCCCACTGACTGCTGTCTCTTCTCCAATGACACAGACCTTGTAGTCGTTAATAACACAAACCACATCAGCAGTTCAGCCGTGCTCCCTCTCGAGGCCTTTCTCAAGAGCCCTTTGACACCATGCAAATAGTTCAGAGGCCCACACTTGCCCTACTTTGATAGCAAAAGAATGCAGTGTGGTTAACTCCCTTCATTATAAATATGAGAGGCCTGGATTTGAATTTAGTTGTATGAACCCCGTGTATAACCTCAGGAGAGTTTCCTAAGCTCCTTGTCTCCAACTCCGCATTTGCAAGTAGAAATGACTATAATATTGCCTACCTCAAAGGTGTTAAGTGATAATTAACTATATATCTGCATCTGTCTATATCTGTATCTATCCCTATATAAATGGTCATGAGGACAGGATTATGTGACTTTCTTGTCTCGGGAATCATACCAGCCAGACTTATCTTGATAAGTGAACCTGTGGCAGTTTTTTCTATAGACATTGATGAGTTCCCCCACTAGTACAGGATGCCACCACTTGCAGCCACTTGCAGTTATCATTCATCCATTACAAGTGAGAAAATGGAGAAAAACAGGTGGACTAATAATAATAAACTTCTAGTGACTCCATTCTTAAACAGAAAAATTACGTTTGCCTAGAATAGGGACTGATACGTAGTAAGTGCTAAGTGCACATTTGTTTATTATTAGAAGTCTATTAATCAAGAAAATGAGGCCTCAGTTCCCTCCTCTCAATCAAGCTTCAACCTTCCAAAGCTTAACATCATATGCACACATTACAGAAAGCAAGTAGGACAAAGTTGCAAGATTCTCTATTCTCCAATGTTGTTACTGTGTAACCACTCCAATTGCAGTGAATTTGAACTTAATGGATCGTGTCTGTTATATAAAAACCTGCATCTCTCTATTTACCACGGTTGTTCCTGTGCGAGGATGAGATCTGTCACAGTCCACAGCTTCCACGGTGAGATTATATTGCTTCACAGACTCATAGTCCAGCTGCATGGTGAGTTCAATCACTCCAGACAGAGGTTGAATCCAGAATCTCTGTACAGCCTGGCTGTCTCCACTGGTTATTTTGTAGGTCAGACAGTTTGATGGGTGGTCTTCATCAGTGGCAATCACTCTTCCAACTTTGTGGAAAGCTGCCAAGGACATTTTATAAGGTTCATTCTTGTCACGCAGACACATCCCTCTGAAAAGCTTAACATGTTTTTGCTTTCCTTATAGTACCCTAGTTTCTCAAAGGCTCTGCCTGAGTTCTTTTGGACCGTGACATGTGTCTGAACACCCCAACACCACCAATGAAAGGTGGATTTAGAGACAGTTCTCCACCATTTTAAATTTTATGGCATGTGTCAAATGACTTGACTTTAAAATAAATGTATACTAATACTAAGTCATAGCATCATGGTAAGATTCACTCCAGATAAAAATTCACAACACAGATTCTGAGACCAGACAGCCTAGGCTCCAAATCTCAGCTCTGCCATGCACTAGTGTAATTCATTGGAAAATTCTGTAACTGCTCCCAAGCTCTTATTCTTTGTACATGAGGAATAAGAACAGCATCTACCATACATAAAATTGAATGAGGTAACTTAGTGATATATTTAGGATAGTGCACAGTGTGTATTAAACACTAAATAACAATCAGCTATTACTTACGCATATTATCTCTTTAATCAACTTGACAGTCTATGATATATGTGCTATTAATGCCCTCACTTCACAGATAAGGAAACCAGGTCCAGTGGTATTAGACAGGTTGTCCAAGATCACAGGGCTAGAATTAATAGCAGCATTCAAATCTGATTCTAAAGCCTGCATTTTTAAAATTACTTTGCTATCATTCCAATCTATCAGATCTCCAAATAATCTTTCAGAAGAAAGATGGATGTGATAAACTTACTGCATGAATAGGCCCAAATTCTTACCCTTCCATGTTCAAGCTCTTTTTCGCATAAATTTATAGCTCCCTTCCCCTGTGACCTAGGGCTCAGCCCCATGGCTGGTTTTGCCAATGGGATATTGGCAGACCTGGTACAAGCAAGGCCTGAAACTGCACAATTTGACTTCCCTGAATCTTTCCCTTCTTCCTTTGCCCTAAGAACATGCCCAGGCCAGCCTGTGGGAGCACAGAGAAGGAGTCAGATCATCCCCAGTCACCCTAGCCAAAGTCAGGAGAGATGAGCTGAAAGTCAGCCAACTCTCACAATTCTGAGAAAGCCAAGCCAGTTCTCAGACTCACATAGGCTAATTAAACGGTTGCTTCTCTGTTACTCTAATTGGATGGCGGGGGGAGGGCTTACATAGCATACTTATGCTATTAGATAACTGCTATAATAGGTTTATCTTCCAGTCACTTTCTGCCTGAATTATATACTATACCACTTCCATTTAGTGAGACATCATCTTATAACATGGCTAATGAAAAATTGTAATGAAGAAAACATTTCACAGGCTGTCCCTGCCACCTTCAACCTCCCCAGGTGTCTTTCTCTGCTTGCATCCACTCTTTACGAGGTGCATCAGTCTCTGATGATGTGCTATGAAGCAGACAATGCATAGTTTACAGCCATCCCACCCTGAGTGCGCCCGATCTTGTCTGAAAACCATGCATAATATTGAGAGCAGAAAAACCACATTTGTGAAAAAGAAATACTTGATTTTGACAAATCCAGAATATGTAGAGCCTAACCTATTGCTTGTTTAACAGCATTGTTGTTAACAGAAAGGTCACAAGTGATACAAGACCACATGACAGAGTTTACAGGGGAAACTTCCATCTCCACCATGTACTCCTGGGCAAAGTTGACGTCATTTTCACATTTAACACCTGGTTAATGGGATGTTCATTCTTCTGTAGATACAAAATTAACCTTTCAATAAAAATTAAAAGCTACCTTGAGTATTTTTAGCTGGAGTTTAATATAGAGTAATTTTGAAAATATGTAATTCTGCCAAACTCACTCATCAAAAACTATTGGAAATGAAATATATTTCCCCCTGTGACTTGAAATCCAGTAGAATTTAATTTCTATGTGTTTTCTGGTGAATAATCTTGGATAAAGGGGTTTTTTTTTTTTTTTTGCCTATGCTTATGCCCCTCTTAAACCTTTTTGTCAATTTATCACATACCATTAGAAAAAAAAATTGTTTAGAGATTGCAGATTCATGGAATTTGATTTATTTACTTGTTTGAAAGTCAGAATTACAGAAAGAGGGAGAAAAGAAGAGAGACCTTCTATCTATTGTTTCACTCCCCAGATGGCCACAATGGCCAGCATTGGGCCAGATCAAAGCCAATAGCCAAGAGCTTCATCTGGGTCTCCTACGTCAAGTACTTGGGTCATCTTATGCTGCTCTTTCCAGGCTATTAGCCAGAAGCTGGATCAGAAATGGAGCAGCCAGGACTCCAACTGGTGCCCATAAGGGATGCCAGACTTATAGGCAGTGGCTTTACCTACTATACCACAATGCCAGCCCCTGATTCACAGAATTTTTAGGGAAAGAACAACCAAGTAGTCCACAAGACAAATTCACTTCCTCTACACTGATCAACACAGCCTGGAAAAAAAAAAAGATTACCACATTAATGGGTTTTTTTTTTTAAACACTTACTTACTTGCTTATTTGAAAGGCAGAGTGACAGAATGAGAAGAAGGAGAGAGGGATCTTCAGTGTGCTGGTTTACCTCCTAAATAGCTACAATAGCCAGGGCCAGCTCAGGTGGAAGGGAAGAGCCAGAAACTCCTTCCAGGAATTCTACACTTCCACATGGGTGCAGGGGCCCAGCACATGAGCTTTCATCTGCTGCCTCCCAGGCACATTAGCAGGGAGCTGGATTGGAAGTGGCATAGCTGAGAAGAGAACCAACACTCCAGCATGGGATGTGGGTGTCCTAGGCAGCAGCTTAACCCATTAGACCTCAACCCCAGCCCCTAACAGATTTTTCAAATGTTCTCAAGTTCTGTAGGCTAAATGTTTAGTATTCTGAGGGGAGGTTGCTGTCCAAATAGTTTTAGCTTTCCAATTTCCTCTTTAAAATCAAACTGCCCCTAAGTTGTGAAGATTTTGTCTCTCTAATGGACATCTCCTCAAAAAGAAGCAACCTGTCCTAACTTAATCCCATTTATTTACTCTTGTCAAGAATGTCCAAAGACATTTGTACACTGTAGGCACTCAATAAATATTAGTGGTTATTATTATTACTGGAAATTGAATCATGTCTATTTTAGTATGTGTCATACACTTAACATAAGAGTATACTTCCAAAATTCATGGAAAATGGAATTAAAAGATGTTTATTTTGGTATCAAAAATTTTGATACCCATTCATACTCTTCCATAATATGCATTTTCCATAAACTTTCTTTTTAAAGATTTATTTTACTTATTTGAAAATCAGAGTTTACAGAGCAGCAAAGACAGAGAGAGAGAGATCTTCCTTCCTCTGTTTCATTCCCCAAATGGCTGCAGCAGCCAGGGCTGGGCCAGACCAAAGCCAAGAGCCAGGAGCTTCCTCTGGGTCTCCCATGTGCGCAGCAGGGGCCCAAGAACTCGGGCCACCTTCCACTGCTTTCCCAGGCATATTAGCAGGGAGCTGGATCAGAAGTGGAACGGCCTGGACTCAAACTGGCGCCCATATGGGATGCTTGTGTCACAGGCAGAGCTTTTACCAGTTACACCACCATGCCAGCCCCTTTCCATGAACTTTTTAAAGTACCATCATACATACAGTTATCAGCGAATCTTCTTCTCTAAGAGATAATTATAGTCATCTCCATTTTACAGAAGATAATTCAAAAGTACATAGAGCCGGCACTGTGGCACAGCGGGTTAAAGCCCCAGCCTGCAGCACCAGCATCCCATATGGGCGCCAGTTCTAGTCCCAGCTGCTCCTCTTCTGATCCAGCTATGGCCTGGGATAGCAGTGGAGGATGGCTCAAGTCCTTGGGCCCCTGTACCCATGTAGGAGACCCGAAGGAGGCTCCTGGCTCCTGGCTTCAGATCGGTGCAGCTCCAGCCGTTGCGGCCATCTGGGGAGTGAACCAGCGGATGGAAGACATCTCTCTCTCAGTTTCTATATCTCTCTGTAACTCTTTCAAATAAATAAAAATAAATCTTTAAAAATTTTTTAAAAAATACATGGAGATTTTTGACTTGACTTGGGGTTGCCGAGACAGATTTGAATCCAGTTCTGCTTGACTCTGACATCTGTGACCTTTCTGCTATATCGCAGTGCTCCCTCTGAAGACCTAGAAGTCTTCTAAGACAGCAGGTCACTATGGAAATAGGAATGGTACCATTATTTCTTTGGACACATTCTCAGAACTCGTTTTCAGATTTCTGCTGCGGACCAAGAGAAGCAGACTGGACTACTCATCAGAAGCGCACCAGGGACCTGGAGCCCTGCATTTAGCTATCATCTCACTGGCTGTGTGACTCTAGTAAACACATTCCTCTCCCACCTCCATGTGCTCATAGTGAAGAGGCTGACTCTTTCTTCCTAAGCAACAGAGCTGTGATTGACAAGGCTACATCCTTGTCACCAGAAAATATTAAATTATGCTTAAAAAATCAGTATGTCCAATACATTTAGATGGTTTTACCTTCAAAACATAAAAATGCATTTTAGGACAACTCCTCTAAGTTGGAAAAGAAATAGACATCAAACACGTGATTACCCAGTCTCAAAAGGCAGAATTATAGAGACCATAAAGAGATCTGTAGTTCCAGGGGTTAGAGAAGAGGCAATGGTGAGTAGAGGATTTTCGGGCAGTGAGACAACCCTGTGTAACACTATAATGGTGTATACACATCACCATATGGTTGCCCGAACCCATAGAATGGGCTACACCAAGGGTGAACTCTAATGTCATCTGTGACCTTTGGGTGAAAATGATGCATGAAAGCAGGCTGAGCCACTGAAACACGTGTACCTCTCTGTTGGGGGATAGCAATAACATGGGAAACCATGCATGTGTGGAGACAGAGTGTACTGGAAATCTCTGCACTTCCTTTCAATTTTGCTGTGAACCTAAACTACCATTAAAAACAAAACTACATTTTTTTAAACAGCAGTCTCTACTTTGAAATTTGATTGATTGTTGTTAATTTTTTTTTTTGACAGGCAGAGTGG